GCCGGAGACCCGGGTTCACGCCCCAGGTGTTGGGGGACGAACCGGCGGAGGGCACGAGCCCGCGCGGGACCGCGACGGTCACATTAGCTTCTGGGAAACTGGCCCAGGTGCGAGTGTGTCTGTGTCTGTCTGCCCTGTGGTGGCCTGGCGTCCCGTCCAGGGTGTACCCTGCCTTGAGCCCATTGCTTGCTGGGATAGACTCGGGCTCTCCCAGAACCCTGGATTGGATGAAGTGGTTAGGGAATGAATGAATGGATGGATGAATGATTACCACTGGAATATAGTGAAGTGTGTCTCGTTCAGAAGTGGAACCACATAGATCCCACTGGCCCTGATCAGGCCTCTCTTCCAGCAGGGCAATCTGGTTAAGAAGCCCCCCTTGAAGCCAGTGGTGACCTGGGCAGATGGATATTTACTGTGACGGGAGTCAGGGCTCACCTGCACACTTATTTGCACAGTACTGTAAATACCCATTTATTCATTTTTTTATCTATTTATCTACTCTGTACATTGTTTTACTTTTACTTACATACCAATACTACCTCAATAGCGGCTAATGACTCTCGGTCCCCCCCTTGTGTGTGTTCTTTTGTGTTGCGACATTATGCGGACTGTTCCTAGTGTATTGTGCACCTCAGGCCAGGAGAAACTAGATTTCCTTCTCTCTTGTACATCTGTATGAGTGCAGGATGACAATGAAGTGAATGAACTGAATATTACAGTCCCCACACTCACCAAGCCTGCAATGGGGGCTGTGACAGGAAAGAAGCCATTGATAAAAATGATTTGAGTGGGAAACTGCGTCAGCATGTGGTAAAAAAGCCCATTCCATGCTGCAAGGTGCAGAAACAGAACACAACGTTTCGGCTGAGGAGCCTTGTTCAGGTGTGAGGATGGTTAGATGTTTTGATCATGAAAACATGACACATACAAACCTCGAATGGAGTTTATGGTCAAGCATTGAGATCAGCCGGGAGTGGGCAGCTTGTCAGGACTGAGGGGAGAAGGAATGGAGCACCTAAACCTGCGGGAGTCACCCAAACATCTAACACTGGGCAGACATCCACACTGAGGCTCCAGGGCAGAGCTGCACTGGAGGTGTCTAACAAGGAGAGGCCGACCTGGGGCGGCCCAGGCGAGGGGCTGACTGGAATCCTTCGGGAAATTTGGGGGGAGATCTGCAGTCAGCTGTCCGTCAGCAGTCAGCACCCCAGAGGGGTACCTGAAGAACTGGCTTCCCGTCACCCTATATTCATCACCGAGCTTCACAACCCCAAATCGGCTCAGGTGCAAAAGACTAGTTTAAAAGATCACCAGGACAGAGTCTGTCTGCGTATAATCAGAAGGGGAGTTCAGGGTAAAGGGATCTTTCACTGATTGTCTGCGCCTGGACAGTAAGAGCTCGGTTGCCTTTCAAAACGAACACAGTTGCCACGTCACCAAGAGGGGAGCGGGCTTTCAATGACGTCACACTGAGATCTTGCATACAGATGTCAACAGTAAAACATTTTCCAGTACGGTTTTCATAAAGCCAGACACATAGCTTATTCGCCTTTAAAAGAAGCATATATTTTCTCAGCGACTTCAAAATCACACGTCTGCACGGCAAAAAATACACTAATCCAACCGAAAACCACAACATTCAACGCAAGCTTGCATGAAAACGAAAAGAGTATTTTCTACTTACTTTATTATTTGAAGGCGAGATTCATTTGTTTTCCTTTCGGTGCAAAGGTTTCTTAAATGGCACTTGGGAAGCTCAACACTGTTCCTCCTGCAGATTTGAAAAACTTCTGCTTTCTGACAAAGAGCAGCGCCTACAAGCTGCTCGATGCATTTCTTAGAAGTTTGCCGTCGACCACGTTTTTAGCGCTCAGAAAGGTAACTCGGGTTGTTGTTTTTGTACGTTGCATTGGAATGCATTGTGGTGCATTCCAGCAGGAAGCACCTCCTCACGAAATTAATCTTCAGAAACGCGAGAGAGCGCCGCCCCCCGATGCGCGGGCGACGGCGAAATCAGTTTTCTCGCTGTCACGAGCTGGACCGCGCCTCTGTGTTCGCGCAGCTGCCGGCTCGCTCGTGCGGAGAGTTGAACCCCGGGCAGCCGGTCTCCTGCAGCCGAGGGCGGCGTCTGGGTTTGATGTACAAGCAAAAAATCGAGAATGCAGTTGCAAAAGGCGAGGGGCTGCAGGGCGGCACGGTGGCACGCTGGTTAGTATTAATAATAATAATAATAAACTTTATTTTATATAGCGCCTTTAAAGGTGACTTCTCAAAGCACTTTACAGGATGACAATAACAATAAATAAGAAGACTACAACAATAAATAAGAAGATTTCACAAGATAAGACACAATTATAATTACAGCAATACAACAATAACAATAGAGGAGACTGTGGATGGTGGTACTAAGAAGAGCAGAGGGGTGAAGAATGGAACCAGTTCAGTAAAGGCTTTTCTGAAAAAGAAGTTTTTGAGTCTGGATTTGAAGGAGTTTTGACCCCCTGTCGGCGCTGGTGCTCGGGGTTCAATTCCATACCGGGGTCTGCATGTTCTCCCCGTGTTCACTAGGGTCTCCTCCCACAGTGCACAGACACGCTGGTGGGGTAACTGACTTCTGGGAAAACTGGCCCTGGTGTGAGTGTGTGTGTGTTCAGCGATGGACTGGCGTCCTGTCTAGGGTGTACCCTGCCTTACTCCCGTTACTTCCTGGTTGTGCCTGTGACCCCGAATTGGATAAGTGGTCCGAAAATAGCTAAACGGCTGATTGTAGGGCGCCGTACAATGAACACCACTCTGAGGTTGTTGTTTTTTTGTATGAACCAGAAAACCGGACATTACTATTACTGTTACAGTAAAGTGTCTTTCGTTCATTTGACGAGTCTCAGCTGTTTTGTGGAGAAACAAAAAATAGGTAGTGTATTTATAAGATTGTTTAGTTTCTTTATAGAAGTTGTGGGTTTATATGACTATGTTTTTGTTAACAACGTGTCTAACCATTAATTCTTGATTTTACTCAGTACAAACATCTTTCCGTTTTATGTTAAACTTACCCCTCTTACTGTGCTTATTTAGCCTTAAAAGGTTTCAAGGTGTACGCCAATATATAACCTGCTAATGATGGACATTTTTCTCACTAAATAATCCCGAGGAGCATCTTTAATTAGGTCAAGCACAAAACTTTATCCACATTGTAGAAATGTTCAGAAATGTTGTGTTGTGTTCCGCCCAGCTGTTTCTCCCTGTATTTAAATTAGGTGCGTGTTTGCTTGTGTAACCAAGCTGACAAGATGGCGAATCTGTCTCTGCAGCACATACTTGGGTCACAGCACCGGAGTCGCTCTTTTCTGGGCAGAGTAATGAGATGACCGTCCCAGCTCCCGTCGTCATATGGACCAGGGATCGCAAATAAAAAAAAAAAACGAATCCGTTGGTCTGCAGGAAGAGGAAGAAAACCAGAGAACCCTGACAAGACCCACGCAAGACTAGGGAGACGGAATTCTCCCGACACCGGTAACACACCCATACTTATGCCAGCAGCATATCACCCTGCAACTCACAACTGGCAGCCCACTGGAGCTCAGCAGGTGGGAGCCTGGTCAGTACCTGGATGGGAGACCTCTGGGGAAAAACTAAGGTTGCTGCTGGAAGAGGTGTTAGTGGGGCCAGCAGGGGGCGCTCACCCTGCGGTCCATGTGGGTCCTAATGCCCCAGTATAGTGACGGGGACACTATACTGTAAACAGGCACCGTCCTTCAGATGAGACGTAAAACTGAGGTCCTGACTCTCTGTGGTCATTAAAAATCCCAGGGCGTTTCTCGAAAAGAGTAGGGGTGTAACCCCGGTGTCCTGGCAAAAATTTCCCATTGGCCCTTACCAGTCATGGCCTCCTAATAATCCCCCTCTATGAATTGGCTTCATTACTCTGCTCTCCTCCCCACTGAGAGCTGATGTGTTCTGGCGCACTATGGCTGCCGTCGCATCATCCAGGTGGGGCTGCACACTGGTGGTGGTGGAGGGGATCCCCATGACCGGTAAAGCGCTTTGAGTGGAGTGTCCAGAAAAGCCCTATATAAGTAAGCAAGTGTAAGCAATTATTATTACTTGTAGATAGATAAGACTTTATTGATCCCAAAGGGAAATTGTACACACACCACCTTGGCTTGTTTGGAGATAACGAAGATGATGAAATACATGTGGGTTACACTGTACTAAGCTAAGGTGACATATTTCATATCTAAAAAAAATAAAGAGGCTGGAGCTGCAGAACGTCACCAAGGCCAGGTAACATAGGGAATGGTGATGTAGACGCTGCCAGGAGGTCACCCTGTGGGTTTATGGGAATTGGAGTTCTGAATTCAGCATCGGTGAGTGCTTTGGATACATATCGGATGTTAAACGGAAAATGACATTTTTTCAAATTAAAATGCATCTCTATTAGCTGTCATTTTATTGAGTTTCATTTTCCATTACACCTCAAACTGGCATCATGAAGAAAATAAACATGGTTGCTATCTGCAAGTCTACAGCTATACAGCTGGCTTTACAGCATAAAGAGCTTTTAGTTTGTGCAAATAAGAGCCCCAGTCTCCCACACTGCAAGGAGACAAGGCACTGCGTCCAGTGTCAGTGTCAGAAAAGTTCACCTGAAATAGGCACTACACGAGAAAGCAAATGATTATAAAAATCATAATTATAATCTAGCTAGAAAAGCATATGTACATTTTGAATTATATAATTATAAAACTATGCTTTAAGAGTATTTAAAAGCAAATACACACGTAAAAACCTCAACTACGATTTCTGTTTTAAGGGCATTTTTAAATTCCCTTACTCTCTCTGAGCATCCTGGAGATGCACCAGCTGCACTGGTCTTTACTCCCCCCAGCGACAGTATCCACATTTTCTAACTCATTCATGTTCATTCATGCTATTCATACATTATTCCAATTATTTTAAAATCTACCATACTGTGATATATAAAAATAATAAGCTGTCAATATAGTATCCATATTATTTATTAGGAATAGGTTACAGGTTTATTCAAAAAGTGGATTTAAAGAAGTAGGACAGATACAAATGAAGCAGATGTTTTCATTAATCTCTAATGCATAACAAGAACCATGTATCCTTTGGCTAGTGAAGAATCTCTGGGCAGTGTGACAAATCTCAGTATGGCAATGTGTTTGATGTGCCTGAATGGCTGCATCTATATCTTCTCTCTTGCAGACCGAGGCTGAGCCTGGTCTCAGAGGTCCCTCTCCAGCAGCAGCTGCTCCCAGTGTTCCTGGAAGAAGGAAACCCCGGATGAGCTCCGACAGAAGTCCCTCATTCCGGCCCAGAGGCAGGGACGCAGGCAGATGCCAAAGATGACGTAGCCGCGGAGGGAGGGGAGCAGCCCCTGGAGCTGGGCCAGGAGCACGGCGCGCGCCGGCGTCTGCTCGCCGCTGAAGATGTTGATGTTGAAGTGCAGGGCGTCGGCGCGGTAGGGCACGCGGTGCGGCGTGGTGCAGAGACTGAGCGCAGAGGGCAGCTCCGCCCGGTCCGCCACCCAGGTCAGGCCCCGCCGGCGCAGGATCTCCAGGTTGCTCTCCAGGGGCTGGAAGGGCTCCCAGTCGTTCATGATGGTGCCGGCTGGCAGCAGGTTCTGCACCACGTGATGGCTCAGCACCAGCCTCTCCGCCTCCACCTGGCTCAGGGTCACGGGCTGGGGGCCACCGCCCCCCGTCTGCTGCCCCAGCTTCGTGCCCAGCTCCTGCAGGAACGGGCCCAGGTCTGCCACCTCACAGCAGAGGGTCAGGACAGCCTGCGGAGAGTCAGGGTTCAAAACGAGAGCTGAATCACATCTGCCATGAGTGTCTGGGTATCTGAGCTGTCTGTATGTGTCCTGCTGTCCAGAGCAATCAAAGAGAAGCATATGGCAAGACTTAAGTAAATGACTTATTTAAAAACCCAGTACTGTATGATGGGCCTGCATTGTACAGAAACACAACATCAATTAAATGCTTGTGAAGAGCAAAAGGTCTCCAGAGAGCCAATAACGAAAGACAGGCTTGGGTGGGGGAGACAGCTCTGAGAATGAGACCCCTCATGGTGGGCCGGAAGAGTTTGCTATGCAGCATCTCTTGTAATGTGCTGGGCAATGCAGAGTTAAAGGAGTTAAAGTGGTCTTGGAGAGGAGACCTGTTGTTTTGGATAGTTTATTCTCCTTACGTGAACCACACTGAATTTCTTTTACACGAACCGCTAATCATTTGCGTGCTAGTGTGCTGAATGATGTATGTAATATTATAGCTCTGCCAATCCTAACTAACTACATCACCTTGCACACTCCCCTGTGAGGGTGTCATTATAAGCCTGTGTAATCCTTTGTGTTGTCGAGAACATCCTTCACATGACAAACAGTGACAGGGGGGTCTCCCGGCGCTGTAATCAAGCTGATGCATCCCACCCTGCGGTCTGTGTACAGCCTCCCCTCAACACAATAAACTCAATTCTTCCCACCATGCAGTACTGCTGCTGATCCACCCAGTGGATCAAGTTGCAATCTTTAACGTTAAACGAGAATGGAAAAAAATCCAACGACTGTTGGTTTTGATGCAATCACAAGTCGAATAGAGATGGCCATGCTACCCATCTACCGTATTTCTATTTTGTGTTTTTTCTATTTTTTTTTATTTACCCATATTTGAATTTTATGTTGAGAACATATCTCAAACAACGTACATTGCTCCTTAATTCCCATTTTAATTTGATTTGCTATAAGTTGCATAAGTTGGAAACGTAACCTCAAATTTTAAGTGCACCCTCTGTGCTGTGCTGGTTTAGCTACACGTTAAACACACACTAAGTCAAGCACATGGTCCCTACCCTGACTCTGTACCTTTAATTCTTATGGGAAAAGCCCCCCACTTTAAGTTCCTGGCAAAGATTTCACTCTTACAGTCCAAAAACAGAATTTTTTACATTGTTCTTCTGTGGAAAAGCCACCCTACCCGTTTCTCTGTACGTCTTCACTCTCTGGTCTCTAACCCCAGTGTCTATCAGGAACAGCCTGTATATCAGTCAGCCAGCAGCAGGTTAGCAAGTCCAGCTGAGCGGCAGGCAGAGTCTGTGTGACACCAGGCGGGGGGGGTGAGGGGGACAGAAGCCGGACCCTGAGGGAGTGAGGGGGGTGATGAGAACAGCTGCAGAAAGATGCTCCAGTACCTCCCGGGCCAGCAGGCGGATGTCGGCGTCTGGTCTGGGCTCTGTCTCCATGGTCCACCTGTTGGTGGTGACCTGGGGGAAGTAGGTCTTGATGAACTGGATCAAGTGTCTCCGGACAGCAAACGCCACCCCCTGGCTTCGGTGGGCGGGGTCCACCCGCACTCCCTGGCCTATTGCTGTCCGCCGTCCGTCCACGAGCAGAGCCGAGCCCAGGGCGATCTGTGGGACAGAGCAATAATGGAGTGCTAGGTAGCATGGTGCTAATTTTGCCTATCTTCTGTACAAAAATGAACCAAGATGCCATTATAAGTGATCCCCAGTGACTAAGAATATGGTATTTTAAACACATTTTTTGGGACAGTCCCTGTATTTACCTGTATTTTACTGTGATGGACCACTGAACAAACCTGAGGGGGCAGCAGTCCAGGCTGGAAGAAGGATCCTTCTGCAGGGGAAGACTTGCTCAGAAGTAAGAGCTGATGGCAGACAGCGGTGCTGTAGGAGCAGGCAAGCAGGTAGGGCAGGCAGGCAGAGACGCAGGCAGAGATGCAGCTGGTGCAGGGGAAAATCCTAAAGCAGCGGGCAGGCAGGCCAGAGCTCCAGGCACTGGAGAGAATCCAACAAGGACGGGCCGTCCAGGGCAAACACAGGTAGACCTTAACTTCCTCAGCCAGAGGGAGATCCAGCAATTGAGGTCAAGGGAACAAGCAGTGAATTGCACCAGAGAGGAATTCAAAATGCAAAGCAGAGAAGAAACAAGTGCAGCTTCACAGAGCAGCAGCTCAGACTGAGCTCTGTCATGCCAGTGGATTGGGAATAAATACCCTGCTGGGAACAAGTCCTGTTTAATTACAGGCTGGTGGTATTAACAAACTGCCTGACCACGTTGACACGCCCACGGGCAGACTGGGAGATTGGTCAGCTGCTTGACCACAGGCAGTGGTGTAACGGGAGCTGGTTCTCGCTGGTGCCTCGTAGCACTGCTGTGTGCGTGTGGAGTCTGCATGTTCTCCCTCTGCTCACGTGGGTTTCTTCTGGGTGCTCTGGTTTTCTCTCACAGTCTAAAGATGTGCTGGTAGATTCATTGGCTTCTGAGACAATCGGCCCTGGTGTGAGCGTGTCTGCGCGTGTGTGCCCCATGATGCACTGGTGTGCCACCCAGGCTACACCTGCCTTGTGGTCAGCAGTGCTGCTGGGATCCTGGGCTCAATTACTGAGCTGCAGTGCTGTCTGTGTGGAGTTTGCATGTTGTTCTTGTAAATGCGTGGGTATCCCTCAGGTGCTCCAGCTTCCTCCCTGGAAATTGGCTGTAGTGCAAGTGTGTTCTGTAATGGAAAGTTACTGAGAAAAAGGTGTTCTATCCTAAAAATGATGTTTACAGGCAGAGCTGTATTGCAGAAGCAGCTGGATTCTTAGAACAAAGAGTGAAAGCACCGACCTCTTCGAGGGCAGGGGATGTTTTAATAATGTTTATCTCTGCTGCTTGAAAAAGGGAGTATGAGAAATTATTGGAATAACTACTCCTTTCTTTGTTTAAGCAGAAACCTATAAGGAATGGAAAATCACTGCTTTGCCTGTCCTTGAAGTGTTGGATCAGCTTAAAAAAGATATAAAACAAGGGTCTCTCCCTGCTTGCTTTTGAATCAGCCTTCACTTCTCTGCACAGACCAGTGATGTCTTTTTCCCAGATTGCAATATGAATAAAGACCTTACTGAGTGAATGAGGACAACCTCTCCTGGCTCTTCTTTGATAAAATTCCAGACAGCTTGTGTCTGTGTGTCTGTCCTGTGATGGACTGGCTTGTGCCCATTGCTTGCCTGGACAGACTCCAGCTCCCCCCTGACTCTGAACTGGATAAAGGTTAGAAGACGGATGGATGATTACATGTCCAGATGGCAACTGTAGATTTTATGCAGGGGGTAAATACGTTTTACCGTAATAGACATATCAGCATGCATGTATTTTGTTTTAATTTTTAATGGCTTTTGGCCTCGCAGTTCCCGTTTTCAGCTTTCGGAATGTATGAAGATTACTGGATTCCCCTGGGAATTTTCAGAACCTGATGTCTGATGCTCGTCGGGAAGCAGCAGACAAACTCACCACCCTCCCGTGTTTCTTGGCCAGGAACACAAAGCGATCGGGCTCCCTGAGCCAGTGATGGTAGGTCTCAGCCATGTAGTCCAGTCCACTGAAGCAGTCGTCCGAGATGGCCAGGACCTGCTCCATGTCCTCCTCCCTGGCCGGGCAGAACTCCAGCTCCAGCTGACCAGAATGGATGGCTGCTTTTCCTAAATCTGCCAGCACTCTTGAGGCTAGAAGACAGAAGAAAACTTCATAATGAAAGGGACAGGTAACATAATCGAGCGCGGAACGAATTACTGTAAGGAAATTGCAGTTTTATTAATATGACAGCTCAGGAGGGTGACTGCACATTAATGTCCAAGTGATGTCCAACACAGATTTCATTTGCACAGAGCAGAGGCTATGAGATCTGGTCCCAGTGCCTGAGACCAGAGATCTATGTGATTTGATACCATTGTGGATACTGGCTGGACAGTGATCTTGCAGCGCACAGTGCAGTATCTGTCACGATAGTAGTCCCTCCTCCTTAAGGGCGCTCCGGCTCTTTTCACTTTGGACTTATTCTGTGCACCTGCCCCTTGTTCCAGCCTCCTTCCCGTCCCCCTTAAAAGCCAGACACTCGGTCGGTTCCGGGCTCTGCATCTGATTCCCGTATCGTGCGAGCCCGGTTCCGACCCGGTTCCTGATTTTAATCTCCTGTTTCGGATGGATCGCCTGGCCATGGACTCCAGCTTGTTTTTGGATTCCCTGTCTGGATTATTTTTGGACTGTTTGCCTCGGCCACACCTCCCCCGTGCACCAGCGCCCCCCTGTTTTCATCCCCGTAATACTGAAATAACTTTTCCCCCAGTGTTTCCTCACTATTTTGGATTGTGTTCCGTTACAGTATCACTACAAAACAGGATTGTGATATGGATTTTTTTGTGCATGTCAGCATTCACACATTTGTTTGGCTGTGTGGCGCCTGTATATAAGCAGAGTGGGGAAACTCTGTTGTATATGGGTCGATTAATCAGAATGACGGATTATCCCGAATTTAAGGATTTTTTTCCCTTCTCTCCGTGATGTGCAGTGCAGTGGCTGCCCGTGCAGAATGGCCGTTGTAACTGCAGATCAGTGATGTCCTGTACATGTAAAATACATAGAAAACACTTCCAAAAAAAAGGATTATGCTGAACTGTAGGACTTTCCAGTGTCTTCTGGGGTTCGTCTGCCTCTCTGTTGTTAAGTATTTTCAGCCTTTCAGCGGCTGGGGATTCAAACTTATCAAAGCAATGCAAAATCGTTTTTAAGAGGGAAAAATGAAGAGCTAAAAATTATTTTTAAAATCATGCCTGTTTAAGTAAATTACTGGTTTGTTTCCATAAACTGTTGATAAGTGTTAGCTTTTTAATTATGTCCAGTTCTTTTGTAATTTATTGTGAAAATGTCCCTACAGAAAGAGCACCAAGGGTCAGTTCTTTGTAACTTCCAAAAGAAAATCTGATAAAAAAAAATTGCCTTGTATCTGTCTGTGGGATAATAGCATCACGCAGACCGATAGTTAACCCGTCTTCTCAGCAGCGAAATGCTTTTCAAGCACCAGCTGCTGAACTCACGAGCCATAGCCCTGATTGTACAGACAGGCTGTAAACATGAATGACAGAACAACAGTAATAGCTGTTCTGTCAATAATCATTCTAGTGAGACACTTAAACAATTTTCCATGAACAATCCTGGCTAATTTACACAAAACATATTGGATGCCTTTAAAGAGAATTTAAAGATGCAGAAAGTTTTTTTTTTATTTCTTAACCTCTCAAAACAGACAGTATTGGTCAGGTACTTGTGGCTAAGATTACTTTAGTTTAGTTTAACACTCATCCCCAGCAACACACCGCTAAGCCAGGAAGAAGACAAAGCGTTTTCAAACGCAGCTGATGCTGTTACCTGCAGGAATCGCGCTGCCCCTGAGGGCAGGGGTCGTCAGTCTGAGCTGAGTCAGGAGCCCGAACATGCTGGCTGTCGGAGAGCAGGGAGCAGCGAGGCAGGAAGTCTTGGTGGTAAAGTCTCAATCAACCTTCTGGTTATAAACCTCTTCTCCGGGTCCCTCTTTAAGGGGTGGGGTGGTTCTCTGCGGGACAGTGCTCAGCCACACAGAATCACTCCTCAGAAACACTCCCACCCGCCGCCTGTACTGTACTGTACGTCCAGCTGTTGGACTCAGTCTAGCAGAGAGACGCAGAGTCTCAGTTAGAAAGCGCAACTTCTTCAAGGGCAAATGGAAGAGCTGATACTCTTTATCTCACACATAAAGTATCGGAGCAATAGAGCTTAATAGAAAGGGAACAATTGTGTCTTATTGATCTGCGACGGATATAGACCTTCTGGAATACAGTGTTGGAAAATATGATCTGGAAATCAGTTCGGACAGCTCCTGACAGAGACTGCCTCACAAACGAGACTGAAGAAATATATAAAAAAAAATTCGTAGGGTTTGATGAATTTGATGATTCGGCTGTGTCCTGAAAGGCTGGAAAAAAGACTTGGACACATTTATTTGAATACAAACCAGTTTCGGATAGACTTGCAATGCTTAATCTTTAAGGATTTAAATGCGAACGTTAGACTTAAGGAGCTTGACATTATGTTATTCTCCGCAAGATGTGTTATAGAAAAAGAACATTTATTCATAATTAATCTATCTGTAGTACTGGGTAGATATATTCACCAAACAAAATGTCCTCAGTCTACTCCCTCCCTTAATACTTACAGTATAAGACTGAAATGCAATATTGCTTAAATCCCATTAAAAATGTGACAATTAACAAGTCAAAAATACAACTAATGTATGACAGTCTGTTGGTTTGTATTTTTATTGTTCACTTATCTTTCCTGGATGACTTTTCACCTTTGGATTTTATGATGTGAAATAAAAGTTAGAAAAAAAAGTGGTCTGTGAGAGTAATATGGGCTGCGGACGTGTGACATTGTGGCCGATCAGAGAGAAGAGAGGGAGGGCAGATAGAAAGATAATGGATAGATACTTTATTGATCCCGTGAGGGAAATTGCAGTGCAACAGCAGCTTAACACAGACAACACAGACACAGTATAACGCATGATACAATAATAATAATACAATAAAATCAGTAGAAGAGTTACTCGCAGTTCAGAACACACAAAGAACAGAACAAACCAGAACAGAACAGTACGCAAAAAAGTCATATTGCACAATATGACTATAAATTAATATAAATGTATTGCACAGGTCCCTGGCGTCTATTGCACAAAAACGGTTTTAAAACGGGAAAAGAAAAAGAACAGCTGTATCAGTTTACTGTTCAGTCCAGAAATGGGTCCCTGTCAATGTTGCCCCTGCCCAGACACACAGTGGATGAGTTGCACAGTCTTATGGCAGAAGGCAAGAATGACCTCCTGTAGCGCTCCCTGTCGCACCGTGGATGAATCAGCCTATTGCTGAACGTGCACTTCATTTCTACAAGCCTGTCATAGAGGGGATGGGAGACGTTGTCCATGATGGCCTCTAGTTTGGACACCATTCTCCTCTCAGCCACTACCTCCAGGGGGTCCAGGTCAGGCCCAATGACAGACCTTGCTCTCCTGATGAGCTTGTTCAGCCTGTTAGAATCCCCTGCTCTAATCCCAGAGCCCCAGCACACCACCGCGTAGAAAATGGCGCTCGCCACCACCGACTGATAGAACATATGTAGCATCTTACTACACACATTGAAGGACCTGAGCCTCCTCAAGAGGTAAAGTCGGCTCTGTCCCTTCTTGTAGATGGCCTCGATGTTCTTAGACCATTCCAGCCTATCGTCGATGATGGATAAGATGGATAAAGAGTTAAGATCTTCTGTGGTTGTGTCACACTAACGTTCTCCCACACAGTTGTACGTACCTGATGGGCCGGTCACCATGTCCGGCTGCTGTAGGCCGGTGGTCGGACCAGGGAAAAGGAGGATAATTCCCGTCGTTTAAAAGGGAGAGTGGGGTTGGCTCTTCTGCAGGCTAAAGAGGGAACAGCTGGGCTCGTTTTCCCATGAGAAGAGAGGAGAGAGGAGAGAGGAGCCCGGCGCCTCTCTCCTGCACTGTGAGGACAGGCCAGCAGGGGAATCTGGGGGAAACAGGCTACAGACCGAGTCGGGGTGAGAAGGATTTGTACACCAGGGTCAGCCCAGCCTCAGGCCCGGTTAAAAACCGTAACAGCTATTTAAATTGTTATTTCTCTTTGTCCAGTCTGTAATGCATATAATCTTATTTCTGCTTTAAAAGATAAGAGGTCTGGAACCTCTGTTGATTCATGCTTGAGCGAAGCCTGCTTATTCACTGCTGGGACAGAGTGGAGGTTCCCCTACTCGCCACTAGACGGCGCAAGTAGACAAGGAACGCGGCCCTCTCGCTCTCTACGCTGGCAGCTGCCTGAATAACCAATCAAAGCTTCACTCGCAGCACCTGCTACCTTCAGTGAAAGAGCTATATTAATCACGAGGTTACTTCCCCCCTCGTCCTAGAATCACGTCAACAGCTCCTCAGATCAGGCGCACTTCTTCTCTCCGAACTGGAGTATACATTTATTTTGTGAGCCTTAACCCTCACCCTTCAACTTAAATAAAAATAAAGTGACCAACACAGTGATTCCGCACCTGCATTCCATCTCCTCCAGAGATATTAGAGATAAAGCAGGGCAGGGCACCGATCCACGCTGCGTCGGTAAAGGAATCTCTGTGAGCACATCCTTACAAGGAAGCGGTCCGAGCCCTCACCCTTTCTAGCAACAGACTGCTCCAGCGACGGTGTTCAAGGGAACGTTTCCCCAGGTCCTTCCTCCTGGCGGCTGTCAGGGTGTATAACGCTGCCCTAGGCTAGGACTGTTAGCCCTTCAGCTGCTCGTCTATGGACAGCATTATTGAATTTATTGAACACTGCATTAATATACTGTGGTACTATCTGTATGTACCTATGTGCATTTTGCACATCTTTCATTGCTTTACAGTGACTATGAGCATATTTTGCACACACCTAACTCTATATATTTTATTTTGTATTGCTGTACTTATTTTATTTGAATTGTTTGTCTATTCTGATGTCTATTTTTGCTTGTCTTGGGCTGGGCTGCTGTAACACCTCCGTTTCCCTTCGGGATCAATAAAGTCGGATCTATCTACCCTAGCTGTCACCGCTCAGGAGCAGGCTAATGGGCCGCAGCATCCTGCCCAAGATACTCTACAAGCACAGCTGGCCACAATCCTGGAGGGGCGGCGTCGGCCCCAGATCTTACCTGAAGGACTGGGTCACACCCACTCAAGACTCTGTGCCGTCAGAAGGTGGCGAAGATATAGTCAGCAGCCATATCACTCTGCAACTCACAAGTGGTAGCCCACTGGAGCTCAGCAGGTGTGAGCCTGGTCAGTACTACGCTGTGGTCCAGGTACTGAGCTTCAGTTGGCTGCCAGTTGCAGAGTGATATGGCTGCTTGTTTTCATTCAGGTAAGGGTCAACTATATACGCAATACTGCCGACAGCAGGAACCCTCTTCTGTATTCAACAGCTATTTAAAAGGTGTTTTACTACTGCAGTAACTCACAGTGACTGGCCGGCTCCTCACCAGTGCTAAGTCACTGTGGTTGATAGAGTGACACACCGTATAAACCAGCAACGTTTGAGCTCCACACACGTCATGTGCGCTGTGGGATAAACACTGTATTCGACAGCTACATTTCTTATGAATTCTGCAACAACGAATGCAGTAGGTGGTAATAACTCCGAAATGTTTTCG